TTGGTAAGAGGAATGGAGCATCTCCCCTATGAAGATAGGCTGAGGAAGCTGGGGCTGCTCAGCCTGGAGTAGAGATGGTTGTGTGGAGACCTCATAGCAACTTTTCAATATCTGAAGGGGCCTACACAGAAACCCAGAGAGGGATTGTTAGTAACGGCAGTGATAGGACAATGGGTAACAGATTCAAATTGAAGGAGAGGAAATTTAGGCTAGATACTAGGAACAAGGTTTTTACTGTAACAGTGATGAGACACTGGAACAGGTTGCCTAGGGTGGCAGTGGATGCCCCAACTCTGGCAGTGTTCAAAGCCAGGCTTGATAAAGTCTCAAGCAAACTGATCTAGTGGGGAAGTGTCCCTGCCCAGAGCAGGGGGTTGGGACTAGATGATCTGTAAGGTCCATTCCAACCCCCTAAATTCTATGATGCTATGTACAGTTCCTAACATTGCAGGCCTTTTATATTGATACATGCGCATCAGAAAAATTAGAGACTTGAGAGAGCACTATTTAAGTGATTGGAATGATGGAGAGGGCAGTGCAAATATCATCCTCTTCCCATTCTGACTTCTCTTCTCCTTTGAATACTGTCACTATTGATAAGACAAAGTTGAGATCGGAACACTGGAGTAGTGTAGTGAGAATAATATGATTTTCACAACTGTGCAGTGTTTGTTAACGGAAGAAAGTTGTTAGTTCTTTCTCACTTCTAGCTCAGAAAAAAATAAAAAAATCCCAATGTCTATGTCTCCTAAAGTAAGAAATCGTGAATTGGACAATGCAGCTAGAGAGGGGAAGGTAAGAAGTTGAAAATAAGAGCCTCTTCCTGCAATAGTGAGCTCTCAGATGGCTCAGCCAGTCCTAGCCTGAAACCTCATCCTTAGTCAAGTTAAAATTGATGGCTAAACCCTGGTCTGAAGAGAGCGATGCATAGCTATTGCTTCAGACTCTCATCCTCCCCACAAGTGCCATAAGTTAATTAAGCCCATGCCATCCAGAGGAACAGATTGCTTTGCACCACTTGGATTTCTGCGTGCTAAGGCTGTATTCCCATAACCTCTGATACCAGACACTACAAATCAGATACAGATCAGATATCCGGCTTCCATCACATTCAGAACCCATGCAACTGTTCAGGCAGCAGAAGTTAGCATAAGAGAAACAGACATACACTACAAAGCCTTTGTGCAGGACTACTTCGGGGTTTTTTTTTTACAGAAAAGTTGTGGCCACCTATCAGGAGAGCACTTTGCACCATGTGGCTATGACATTCTTCCTCCAGGACTAGGCAGCCCCAAACTATATTTAGCCTCCTCTTTAGCCACAGTGACAGCTGCAGATAAAGCAAACTGAAAGAGTCTGTAAAAGCTCAGAGGACTATTTGCACCAGTGGAACCCATGCAATGTCTGAGCATTACAGCAAAAATTAACAGGGACTGTAAGAAAGAACACAGATCTCAGTATTGTACTATATCCTCCATTGAGAAACACTTTCAAAACCACCATTCAATGCATCTACTTGACCTAGTCTCCAGAACTTCTCTCCACCTTCAAACGCTGTACTGCATGGTGGCTGCACTGAGAGCTGCTAATGCCACAGGAAAGTGGCACATGAGCAGTGCTTCAGCAACAGGAATACCAGACACAGCCCCACCTTCACCAGCCATTCGTTCCCAGTCTTGTACTGCCTCCTACTGACAATGCTTTTTGTACAGTAAGGCCGTAAGCCAATCCAGCTGAAAAAAACCCGGGGAAATAGGAATATTTTCAGTGTATCTTAGCTAATAGGTCCCTAACCTACCTGACTACACAATGCAGAGAAGGTGGTGTCCCAGAGTACAAACAAGTTACCAGAAAAGCTCAAGAACTGCACCATCACCGTTGCCACGAGTTATTTCAGGCATCTGAAATAACTCATTTTAAAATTAAGTCCTGCATACTGGGTCAAAACACGCAGATCTTGTCATCATCTCAAGAAACTGCCAACAATCCGCAGGACATTTACCAATTTGCTCATGCAACTTTTGTACTGCATACACATATCTTATACACATAAACATTGCAATAAAATAACAGTATTTAATACTTTCAGTGCTGGAATTCATGGTTGTAATTCAAAAGTGTCTACCTCATTTCCCCAGCCTTTTGCAGGTCCATGATATACAGCTACCATAGCATTTTGCAGGTCAGTGGCAGAGTTACAGCGGTGGGAAGTTTGAAATAAGCAGTTTCATAACAGCACAATTACAGAATTTAAAAAAAAAAACCCCACAACTCTGACAGTGTCATTTAAGTTATACACTTTTAGATTTCCATCAGTTTGTTTAATTATCTGCAATCTTTTCTCCTTCAATTACAACCCGAAGAATATTTTTAGATAAAGACCGATGAATTATTAGAATGCTGTTTAGAGGCAGATAGATTACTTCTTTGAAAATCCCTCTGAGGACTTTTAAAATATGTATTTCAGCAAAAATCAAGTATGTTCAATTCAATTTTCTATTGTGAAGAAACATCGTTTTCCTTCAGCTCAAACAGAAACATGTTTCAGATTCAGCAGTACGAATCAAATATTCAATGGCAACTAAAAATTTTGGTATTTCCACTAAAAAATACAGAGTTGCTTAAAGCAGATCTAAACTACAAATAAAAATTATAGTATCCATGCATAGTATATGCTCAAATCCCAGAAGGTAGTATTTCCCTGCTGTATATCCATGCTGCACATTTAGCCAGGTTCCTGCTGCCTGTCTACAGGCAAGCCTTTAGCCTGGATTAGAGATGCCAACCAGGCTCACAAAATCCTCCCTGGCAAAGAACTCTGCTTCACCCAAATGAGCTATGACACTGGGCACAGTACACTGGTGCGAGGCTAAGAACTATCTTCCCGTAAAGACTGGGGTTTATTCCTTCCTTATCCTCTGTTTCATCTCAAAAATGAAACAGGATGTCTTAAAATATCTGTAGTTGGAGTGAACGTGTTTGACTTTAGTCTGGACACCATGAAGGAAATACCCCACACAGCCAGTATTGTTTCATGAAGGAAGCAACTGCTAAATAAAAAAAGCAGTGCAGTGTATGCTGTCTCTCATTTGAGATTCAAATTCTTAATCAGGTTACAACAGCAGTAAGCTAATAAATCTGTACAACAAAGCTTGAGGCAAGGTCATAAAAGCACAGTAAAAGACAATTCAGTAGCAAAAATAATTTTCTCCTGTAGAGGAAGGAGCAGAGGCAGAACTGAAAGGATTTTGGAGAGAGCAGAGGAAGGTAAGGTAAGTACAGTGGTGGCAGGCTCCATGAAGATGAGGCAGAGTATGGCTGTGCACTGAAAGAATGAAAATAAACTGATTCTGAAGCTGTACATTTAAACAGGAGTACTTTGCCACGTTGATTATCTCCAGGGAAAGCAGCCTGCTTTCCCATCTGCAGCTACTTGAAAGTCACTTGACTTATAAACAAGCATGCCAAAAATTAGCACTGTGCTTACCCCAAAGAAAAAGAAATGCTTTTTTTTTTTTAACCAAAGAAGCTTCCTCCACAACTCCCCAAGGCACATATCAAGCAAAACAGAGACTACATCATTATAATACTGAAGAAATACAATCTGACTGTTCATTCCATTCCTGGTTAAACATATTCATGAATACTTTCTTTCATGAGTCAATTAAAAAGCAATCCTAATCTAAATGCTAACATTTAGGTAAGTTTAATACCTGTATCTAGACCCATTTATCCAATAAGACCAAAACCAATTGAGAGCAGCAGCTGTTTTTTAGCAGGGGCATTATCAACTTAATAGCAGTATTTAGAAGTACAGTTATTAATGGTATATAATTTGGTAAACTGTGATCTATGCATCTTAACAAGTCTCATTAACAGTGTAAGTGAAAACAGAAGATGCCTTGGTATTTCCTCCAACACATTAGTAGTTCTTTACATGAGCAACAGTACTTTTCCCCCAACAATAACAATATACATACCATATTCTTCCAGAAAAATTTTCTATCACATTGAGTTCTTCTTATTGGATTTTAGCACACTACAACCTGGTGTGACTACTTTTAAAAGAATAATTCTTCTTCCCCATGTCCAAGTTATCAGAACAGACATAACACAATCTGTGGGCAAAGACAGAACATGGATCCCATCTTGGATGAAGCTGGACAAAAGTTATGCTCTGTATCAGTGACTGGTAGTTAAGCAGGCAACAGACTGCAGGACTGGTACTGTAATTACTTCCATCCTTGAAATGAGAGGCATTTTAAAAACACAAGCTTTCAGGGCAGGTAGCTCTTGCATCTGTCACCATGTTATTGCTGAGTAATATGCACCCAACTCTAGCTAATTACGTAAATGGCATCTGTTACACAATCATGCAGCATTTCATCCTATGCACATATTGTAAATATGATAGATGATAGACAAGTATCATTTTAGGAGGAATAAAAAGCTACTGAAAATATATATGGAAAATAAAATTCTCATTTATTTTACGAAAACTTGGAAAAGGTCTTAAAGCTATTTTATGTCCATTCTGTACATTTGCATTTTGTCATTTTAATAATTAAAGAATCAGTCTTACTTTCAGTTATTTAGTTCCTACAATATTTCTGTTGCAGACAGCAATGAAATACTTTCTTGTTCTCTCTGTGAATTAGAGTCAGACTGACATTTTCTTTTGACTTACAGAAGTTTCATGAAGCATGATGTTGATTTTAGCATATAAACCTTTTAAAGTTACATGTCAAAAGTCCATTTTTGTTAATTACCAGATGTTAAAAGCAACACAAATCAATGCAACAAAAGTAATTTTACAGAAGGATTTAAAGGGTACAGCAAGTTTACAGAATCTTTGGCTAGATTTATTAAAAGACAAATTACACTGACAAAGACCACAGTACAAAAAAAATTTAATTATTTTTAGAATTTTCCTTAGCATTTTCGGTGTTCACAATATAAAATATGAAGGGTTGCCACCTCAAGAAAACAGATAACCACAGTCTATTCAAACACACTCGGCTTTGGTTTTAAGTTCAGCAGACATCAGGTTGACATTTCTTTCATCACTTGCTGGCCTAATAGTCTCTTCAAAAATTCATTCAACACAATAAATTATACTCAGTGGCTAAGCACAAAAGTATTATGAACTTACATTGGAAATTTATTTTGTTGAGTAAAATATTCATGATCTTACAGAGCTAATTTTACCAGAGGAGGCCTTTGGCCAATTTTGATTTTTTTTTCCCTTTAACACGCTGTGCCTTAAGCTTCTTTTTCTGCCTGGAATTCATCCATATTGGGTACTGTCCATGCTGGTCTAGAAGGGTTTTTTTGTTTCGTTTATTGTCCACGTTCATTTTGCCGTCATCTGAAAATGAAAGGTATTTATAGTGAGTAAGATACTTGAACCAGCTTCATGGAAGACATTTTGTTACTAGATTCCCAAAACTGATAAAAATATTCCTACACATAACAGTAATTTTTACACAGAGAGCTGAAGGGTTTAAGTACTGAAAGCACTTTCCAAACCAATGCAGCTGCAATCCAGGAACTTCAACAGTTGATAGCAAGTGTGCAGAATTTTCCCTAATCTCTGTCTGGGCAAAGCTCCTTATTCTTTAGTCTGCTGTCTGCTCCAACACTGTGACTAAAAGCATTGTGTGTGGTCACCATCATGGAGATATGCAACCATACAGGAAGCCATAGGCTTAATGAAACATATGCACAATTACACACTTTTTATGATGTAATGTTTTAAGGTCTGTTCTAAAAAAAAATCAAATTAATCTGAGTGGAAGATGAAGACAGGTAAAGAGAATAATAAAAAGAAAGGATGAAATTACAGTACAAAGCATGAACCAGTCATCCCACACCTGCCTGAAGACATAAGCATGATGTGAAGTCTAACACATTTACAGGCAGAAATAGAGAATTAATAGAGCACACAGTCACTCCCAAGAACAGCATCCCCGGTTAGCTAACACCCCATGAATCCCATGTCTTCATGAGACAACAAGGCTGCAAGAGGAACATCTTTCTCAGTACTGACTGGAACTGTGCTCTATGATTTCATTTCAATCCTGTTTCCAAACCAGACAACCAAGCTTTATCATGAGTTTTATGGAGCAGAAAACCACTGTTGTGCCAGTCTATTGTTGGGAGACAAAGCTCATGAGGAAAAGGCCAACGTGCTGCTTCAACAGTTGAAGCATCCTGCTAGTCTACAGGAATTTGGACCAGAGATGTGCTTAGGGAGCCCTAAACTGGGATACAAATACTGGCAGTCAGCATAGAATCAGCACAGGGGCCTACTGCCTGCTGGCAGAGCCAAAGGCTGATCCAGCATGGGGCAGGCAGCAAAAACATCTCAGCTTTAGAAATCTCACAAGGTATCAGAGGAATACAACATGACACCTTCTTAACTGCATTATTTTCCAAATGGCATAGGACATAGAGCCTCCAACAACACACCACCAAAAAACCCAGTACCACAGACATTCTCCGATTCCTGTCCCATCATACAATTGAGGTTAATCTGTTACACGAATCTTGACTGCAAAAAAGCACATCCTCAATAAATGTCAGCTGCAACAGGAACTAAAAGAAGAAATACTTCTGGACAAAAACTACCAGTTGTTCACATAGCACAATGTTTCCACTGTACTTAGCAATCTCAAGGATACTATAGGAATCTGTAACAGGAAGAAACCTACTGAACAGAAGCTGCCCAAAGACAAAAAAAAAGCTACAAAAGGGGTTAAATACGAAGAGAAAAGGACCGATAAAAAACCCAAAACTGTAAAAGTTGGTTATAGAAGCAGACTCAATGGATATGATTATCTCGAAAAATTTGTGCACGCTCACACTTTTAAAAACAGCTGCAAACCCACTGCGAACCAAATAAGAAACCTACTGAACAGAAGCTGCCCAAAGACAAAAAAAAAGCTACAAAAGGGGTTAAATACGAAGAGAAAAGGACCGATAAAAAACCCAAAACTGTAAAAGTTGGTTATAGAAGCAGACTCAATGGATATGATTATCTCGAAAAATTTGTGCACGCTCACACTTTTAAAAACAGCTGCAAACCCACTGCGAACCAAATGCTAACCAGCCATTACTTTTTTTTTTTCTACAATGAAAACTGGAAAAAACAAATTTGTAAAATACAAGTACTTATTTGTGAAGTAAGAAGTACTTAGGTACTTCTGAGGCTGCTCTCCATCTGCAAAAGTCAAGTGAAATTGGTCACTTGTAGCCAGGAGAGCTGGAAGGGGGTGCAGGAATGACAGACAACCATGCATTTGCTTCGGAAGCTAGTTTTCCAGCCCAAGAAAGTATACAGGTTTAAGACCTATATACTTTCCTATATGTTTCCTCCAGCTTCAGCATCTGAAGGCTGACAGTGTTTCAAAACATTTCGAAAATTCAGTTCTAACAATCCCATAAAGAACAACTTTTACACCTGGTTTATGTGACAAATCAGAACCATGTATAAAATTACAAATTATACTTTCAGCTACTCTTTACTGGGCAAGTGTTCTTAAAAATCAATCTATTTCCATTTTCCGTATTTTAAGATCTTAAGTGACATAAACTGGAGAAGAAAGAAGGACTATAATTTGGTTTGGACCTCAGTTTTGTGAAGAGGTGTCTTTCTGACTCCTGTTCATTATATACCTATTAAAACCTTTGTTTCCACTTCCTGAGTTACTTTCTTTACAGATGACATCCTGTTCAAGGCACAGGGAGGAAAACTGCACTATGTGCAACGAAGCATTTATTAGTATACAAAAACTGGGCCCACATTACCCCTACCTTCAGACAGGACATTTAAATAGGTTTAAAAAAATCACTACAATTTTGATAAAAATATCAACAAAATTACTTTAGATTTAGGTTTAATTTCTATATGTTTAGTGTTCTCTCTAAGCTAGGCCATAAATTATATCCTATCTCTAGCTGCATAACTGTGAAGTGATGAATCCTCACTCACCTGGTGTGCTTCACAGAGATGTCTCTCCATAGGATACTACATACATTAAAATAGAAGTTATTAAGCTTGTTCCACAAGTGACTGGATGCAATATAGACACCAACGATGGGAAATGACAGGATTTGATGCTTTAACAGCATCTTTTGGCTTTAAAAGATAAAAGTTTCCCAACTCACTGTTCTCAGCCTATACTAACAATGTGCCTGACCCCGACAGCGAAAGCCACAGGCACAGCAACAACACTGCAGGAGGTGACGGCACAACCCACGGCCCAACTCACCCTTCTGCTCCAGGACCTTCTCGGGGGGCACCACGGTCGCTACCTCCTTGACCTCCTCCATGACGACATCCGCCTTGGTTCCCAGGATCTTCTTCAGTCTCTCCAGCTCTTTGGGCATGTTCTTCTTCCTCTTCTCCGCCCGCATCTTCCTCCTCCACTTGCTCCGAAGGCTCTTGGCCATGTCCTGCGGGGAGAGCAGAGTGAGCGC